ATTTATTTCCAACAATAATATCATTTTTGGGGGGCTCGTTCGTATTTTATGTTCGACTGGCACGCAAATGGCTTTTGATAATTATGAGGATCTTTCAGGCGATTGTCTGCCAATATAATTATTGCATTATGATATTATTGGGCTGATATTGTGGTTTCGAAATTGAAAGTGTTGAGGCTGATTGAGATATTTGTTGGCGGAGTGATCGTGAATTTTAGGGTTTGTATTCTCACTTTCTAGCCATGGTCTGACCTTCCTACATTGGCCAGTTTTCTCATCTAATCTTGGAGGTAATTCGAGAGCGACATCCGAAAACTATCTGGCCGAGCAATAAACAAAACCAACCCAGAGCAATTAGCCATATGAAGATGTTAATTATCCAAAAAACAGATGGCCCATAAACCCACATTCTCTCATGCCCAAAACCAAGTCGAAGCCAAAAAAACTAAGTGGGTTTATTCAAATTACAATTGCTTACCTTAGTTAGTGTCTGTCTGGCAGTGGCAGAAGCTGCAGATGCCCCTGGCCATGCTAATGGTGTAATAAATCTTGGCTGCTCGTAAAAAGTGTCAGAGTGTGTCAAATTAAGCATATGAGCAGACTTCCATGCAGACTTCTCTGTCTTAGACGCGATGCACTCGGGGGGCTGGAGTCACCTGGGCAGGTGCGTGGGTGTCGAGTTGCGGATCTCTTTGAGGAAGCGACTTTGTGCAACTTCTGCCATTGGCACTTTGCCTAATTCGCAAACTCATTTGCCTGCATCTCCGATTCAATTAAACTAAGCTTGTATGCCAGTCAGGTCTGAAGTGCCAAGACGACTGCCTTTACTCACAATTTAGCCAAGCCCGCGGCCGATTATGCAATTTTGTGGATGTCGAGCTTTCAATTAAGCAAGAGTAGTATGCTAGTAACTGCGACTTAAAGAAAGGAAATATTATTATCCCCTTATTACTGATATCTGAGGATATCTTCATCCGCCAAATTGTACCCAATTTATAAACAGTTTACCGCACTTTTACCTCGTTTGGGTCAGAGAGGTCTTTCCACCGATTTTATCATATGGCCGGCATACCAAGCTGACCAAGTTTCTTTTTACCTCTTCTTGAGAGTGTTTAGAGCCAGGTTAAATAACATTTGTTTTTGCTTCAATTTCAGTCTCAGTTTTCGGTGGTTATTGCTGGCTTTTGTCTAACTGGCTGGCGGCACTTGGTCGGAACCTTTTCTTTGCTGTGGCACTGGGTCTGGTGCGGTTGCCCGGTGGCTTCTTTCGCTTTCAAGTGGATTTCTTTGGGCGGGGAAGCTACATATTTTGTAGGTGTAGGTGTTGGCTAAAGCTTCGCTTGAGGCGATTTCTTATTTACCTCAGTTAATTACACAATTTTATGTAAATTTCACTTTTGCTGTTTGTTTCTGGGGCTATTGTTGTCGGGCATTCTTTTGTGCACTGCAAATTAATTACTTATTTGCTTAGCCAGCCTGGCTACTTTGTTGGCAATTAAAATGCCTTTAGGAAATCCATACCCATATTTTGTTAGCCTCTTTTTTTTCGGGGATTCTCTACAGCGCCAGCTGTAGTCATTTGTCGATAGTCCGGAAAAGTGAAAGGGAATTGCCAAATACTCGAATTGACCAACTCCGCAGCGAAGGCTCTTCGGCAACAGGCGCAAAACTGAGCCATCAACTGCCATCAAGAGCTTATTATGCACATTTGCTGCCTGCCACACGAAAACTGTCATCAGGGGGCAGGCAGGGGCTACCCGCCTCGCCAACCAGTTCTGAAAACTGCCACAATATCGAACCTGGCTAGGATATCGCAACGCCGCACTCAGTTCTCGAGACAACTCCGATTTAATCGATGATAGGTTGATTGTGATGTTGAAATGGTGTGAGCACGATTTCAGAGATCGAACCGAGATGGCGATGCCCTGCTATGATAAGCCAGACAAACGATATAATGAGCCAATAAAAGCCAGTTGCCACACGGCCATAAATCAGTTTTGGCCAATGATCTGTATATATTTAAGAGCCCTAAAGATATATTTTAATTGGCCTAGTTCTCTGAACTTCCTCTGCAGTCTCCAAAGAACATTGCTTCTCATTAGCTGGCCATTAAATTGAAGCCCGAACTGACATCTGACATGTGCACCTCTTTTTTTTTTGGCCAGAACACAAATTGCACAACACGACTCTAAGCGCCTCCGAAAAAGATCCAGCAATTCTTCTGACAATTCCATTCGAAACAACCTTGAATCTACTTGAATCGCCAAAAACCCATAGGCTAGTACAAAAAGAACCTACAAAAGCTACAAGCCAGCAAGTGAGATAAAAAGAAGACCAATCACAGACTCAGCTTTAAACTGGAAGGCAAATGCATTTAGTTTTTCTTAAAGACAGGAAATCCGAAAGGCAATCGGGGAAAACGAGGCCAGATTGGATGCCATTGGCCAATGACATGACCAAAAAACAAACAAGCTGGTAAATTGTGCGACTCGAGAAGCATCTGTCAGATGCAGAGACCAGCGGCTGTTGCGCAACTGGGGACTTGAAGAATTTACAGCTCTTGGCTTTTGGGTAACTCTTAATTAAGGCAGGCATTTGTTGCCCCAAAGGTCGCATTTTGATTTTAACTATTAAATTCTAATTAACATAAACGGCTTAAATGCTTACTAAATATCTGGCCAATGACTTTCACTGCCAAAAACAAAAAAAAAACGAAACCCGAACCAAACCTGCCAACAAAAAGAAATTTCCCAAAATTTCGCTTTCATTTCGGATCTGGGGATCTCATCCGGACTGCCGTCTAACTCTCGTAATACTACCTGTCTCGAGCTGATGTGTGATGTGAAATCAATTATGAATTATTAACAAATTAGCCGGCAGTTCGAGCCATGTAACTGACAGATACATCATGTATCGAAACGCCCCACCGAGGGTATGAAAATAGTATCTGAAAATTGAAAACTGGTTTCAATCTGGTGGAATGCAGTGCCTTCTACCTGTTGCCGGCTATCTCATGGCGTATCTTCCCTCATTAGCATAATGTTCATTCGATTTGACAGGCCGCCAGTGGAAAAGTTTACGTAACGAAACGGAGTTTGTTATCGGGTGCCCATCCCAACATTTCTTTAATGGAACTTTCTTTGGTAATCCAGGGAGTATTTTAGTTGTTAAACCAAACTGGGTTAGACTATGAAATCAATGAAAAGGGATAGGGACTTATAGAGAAGCCACATCATAAAGTTGATTAATATTTTGGGAAGTACCCACTGCAAGCCACTGTTTTGTGGCACTTGATTAACTCACCACCCACTCTCCGGTTGTCAATCAATTGGACATGTTCAGCCACAGTGGCAAACAGTTGGGTATCAATGGCGTGGGCTGCGTGGCATTTGGTGACAGCAGAAACCACAACAATAGTCGGGGAAGTCACCTGCCTTCGGTGGGTTAATGCGCATGCGCGGCGCATTTGTTGGTCTTCGACACTCCGCACCAATGGTGGCAGTTAAAAACGAAAGCGTTTTGCATACGGGCGGCGAGAAAATGTTGAATGAGTACGCTAAACCATGAAATTGACATGTTTAACACATGCCGACATACCAGGGGCTCTGCCTGAGGGACGAGGAAATCGAAAGCAAGAGATATACTATTGTATGACTGGCCCTAGGAGGACTGGGTTCAGTGGCTCTTGGGCTGGGGGATGCTGATTGCTTTGGAACTTGATTGGTGATTGATTGGCGTTTTCACCAGCCAGGCAATTTGTTGGGGAAAAGTCATCTTCGTTTCGTTTCCATTCAAAGCCCAAGAAAACCCATCCAACACCGAGGATGGTGAACAAAAAGAGCCGTGTGCCATGACAAGGCATTGGATTTTGTTGTGTTTAGATTGGATTATGCGGGCTGGCAGTGATCGAAGGGAAATCATAAGCTGAGAATAATGAATTTTGCAATTGAGTAAGGTTTATTCGATTACCACAGTCCCGCAGTACTCCAGCATTCACCTGCTTGAAGTGTGTTTGAACTTTTCGCCAGGCTAATCATTGCATCGCGATTAGGTTGCATAATCCGGCAGCGTCCCACTGACAACTTTTGACGGCATCATCGCGGCATGATGAGGCGCGGCATTAGCGGCAACAACATAATTACCCTGCGAAATGAAAAGAAAGAGCCGAGGCCCGAGTGGTCCGATAACGCCTCAATCTGGCATCGGCTGAAGCTCAGAAGAAGATTTATGGCCGTGGCAATTAAATTATACATGCAGCACTTTGGCCATAAACCAAACACACTCTCAAAACAAGCCAAGCTCCCAAACAGATATCCACAAGCCTTACCTCCTTAAGCCGCTTTGGCAATTGTGTTGGATAACTGTTTGTCCGTTGCCTGACCGATGCTTTTGGCCCATTCGGTGAGATGGTGGGTTGGTGGTCTGGCAGTACGCATACGCCGTGTATGACGAGCAGTTCTCAGGGCGGGCTCTGCTGCAATATTGTATAAGCAGGTCGCTTGGGGAAAGAGATCCACTAATGACAACTGCCGATGGGAAACAATAAAACTGGGTTACTAACAGAATACAGACGTCTTCAATTGAGGGGCCCCATGATGCGACTGTCATTATTTGAGGGATTTGTCATTTGCATTTTATGCTGATTCGAGATCTATAGATACAAGACATGTAAGATACTCTGTGTTATCTAAGCTCTTCTCAAAACAAGTTTACATTTGTTACGGACTTCAACTTGACCGACTGGCCGCCAAAGACAGGACCCCAGAGCATTACCAGACCCCCAGTCTCGTTGAAATAGAGCAGCCGGTGTGGTAACTGGTTCATGTACATTTTTGGAATATTGAGGCAATGGCTCGGCGCTCATTGAATGTATTACTTATCGCTGATCTCGGCCAGAGCCAGTGAAGGAGAAACCAAAGCCAAATCTGGTTTTCTGCACTGGCCTGGATGATGCAATGTCTTGGAAAGTTGTAACTCACTTGGCGACTCTTTCGTTGCAGCCGCCCTTTCACAACTCGCAGCGCCGCCAGTTGAATCTGCAACAGTACAACCAGCAAAACTTTGTCCAGGCGGGTGTGGAGCTGCCCATTCCCCACCGTCCCCAGCAGCACACCCACATCCACCACCAGGCACCGCAGCAGCAGCACCGCTTTGGGCAGTTCCCACAGCAGCAGCAGCAGCAGCAGGCCCAGCAGCAACAGCATTTGCAACAAAACCAACAGTTCCAGCGCTCGACCCAAAACCAACTGCAGACAGCTCCCCAGTTCCCGCAGCAACATCCGCAGCATCAGCAGTTGCCCTCACCGGCCGGAGGCCTTGATCTGCATCACCAGAACTTTTTGGATTTGCGTAACTTTGCGGGATCCCAGCAACCCCAGCAGCAGCAGCAACATCGTCACAAGCAGTTTGGTAAGATGCTTTGGAGATATGTTCTAATCTTTCCCCCCTAACAGAGGTCTTGACTTCTTCTGCAGACTCGCGGCTGCAATCCACGGCTTTTCCTCCTCAGCCTTCGCCGGAAACCTACCAGCAACAGCAACAGCAACAACAGCAGCAGCAATTCGGCTTCCAGCAGCCCCAGCAGTTCGGGCCCCAAGTGCTGCCCCAGACCACGCAGAAGCTGCCCAGCCAGGCTCCAGTGCCCACCTTCCAGACCATTCCCCAGCAGCAGCAGCAGCAACAGCCTGCTTTCAACTACCAGCAACAGCCCAACCAGCAACAGTATCAGTTGACTCCTCAGCTGGGATTGCCGGTGCCCCAAATCTTCAGCAACGTTCAGGCCACTCCATTCCCAGAGCCGACCCGGGGAACCTTCCAGCAACAGCCCCAACAGCCACACCAGCAGGTCCAACAGCAACCCCAGTTCCAGCATCAGTTCGTAAACGCGCAGGCCCCGATCCAGACCCAGACGCAGGCTGCCGACCAGGAGTACAAGCAGAAACTGATCCAGAAGCACGAGCAATTCGTGGCCAAGCAGTACGAGAAGCAGCAGCACAAGGTGCGCCAGCAGCATGAGGAGTTCCTGGCCAAGCAGCACCAGATCAAGCAGCACATTCTGCCCACAATCATCACGCAACACAATGGAAACTTCCAGAATCCTCAGTATGTGGGAGGTCCGGTGCGAGGAAGGCCGGTGGCACATCCCACGGAGTACAACCAGTTCAACAGTGCCCTGCAGCAGTACTACAAGGAGCACCCGACCACGACCACTACTACAACCACAACTACTACTACAACGGAGGCTACCACCACGCCCAAGAAAAACATCTACGCCCAGGTCAAGTCTGAGCTTGGAAAGTACCCAACCCAGAAGGGAAAGAAGCCAGTGAAGACCATTGCCCGCGATGACTTGCTCAAGCAACTGAAGGCCGCCTTGTCAGAGGCTCCGCAGCAACCACTGACCGGCAACAAGACCTATGACGAGATGGATCTGGTGCTGCCCAATGGGCAACGGGTGCAGGTGATCCGGACCACAGACCCCAACCTGGTGCAGGGCCAAAAGGCCTACTCTCAGGAGCAGTTGCAGACCTTGCTGGCTCAGCAGGCTTTGGGAGGCGATGCTAAGCTCAGTCTCAGCGATGTGGCGCCATCCAAGAGCAAGGACCTCGAGTTGCCCGGTGGCGGAAAGGTGCAGATCCTCCGATCCCCCGACCCACAAGAGTCGGACTCCCTGCCAACCGGGTCCCTGCCAGGCGGCGTCGATCTCTCCGGCCTGGCCGCTCTGTACGGAGGAGGAGCTGGCGACATCCAGGGTATCAGCAGTGGAGCCAACAGTATTGCCAGTTCGGCGGTTATCACCTCCGACTCGGATGATCCACCATCGCTCGAGGAACTGGCCAAGCGGGGACTCATCCCCGACGGCTATGAGATCGAGGGCCTGAGTCCAAAGTCCCAGGCACCGGCCACCGCTGCTCCTCCCCCAGTGCCTGCCAAGAAGAAGGCCACATACGTGTACCTGGAGGAGCAGTCCGATGGCAGCTTCAAGATTCAAGGAGTCAAGGCCAACGGCGAGAAAGAGACTAAGCAAACGGGCGCCGAGGTGGAGAGTATTCTGGAGCGAATCCGTAGCGGCGAGATCAAGCTTCCTCCCTCTGTTTCCCGCCTGACCCTGCCCAACGATGAACTGGTAGAGATTAAGAGCGGCAAGATCATCCAGACCACCAGAGCGCCAAGCACCACGACCTCGACCACCACTACCACGACCACCACACCCACACCGTTTGTTTCCCGTGGAACACCCCACAACCACAGGCAGTATCACCCATCCAGGATTTCGACCTCTACTACCACAAGCACCACCACAACCTCCGCTCCAGTGACTCAGCGTCATAATTTGTTCTTCGAGAGCACCACCAACCAAGCCAATGCCGCCAGCCTCGTTCGCACCACTCCCGCCCCCATTTACAGTGCTTCGACGGTTACGGTTGCGCCTTACCTGGGCGGAGCCTCCACCCACTTCCCCGTGGTCACCGAGCGACTGTCGGATGTCACCCACAACCCAGAACCGGTGCCATCCAACACCCAATACGCCGATGCCCTTGTCCAGGAGACGGAGAACAGTGAGAAGGCTGCCCAGGCCAGCCCTGCTGTCGGTTCCGTGCTGTCTAACCCTAGCGAGGATCTGATCCAAATCCTCAAGGCCAATGGCCTGTTCGCCATGGCCAAGTACCTGCGGCAGTCTGGACTGGATAGCATCCTGAACGAGACGGGTCCCTACACAATTTTCGTGCCCACGGACAAGGCTTTCAAGAACTTGCTGGTGCAACTGGGCGGACCTGAGCGCGCTGAGGAGAAGTTCCAGTCCAACCCTAGGCTCTTGAGCGGGGTAAGCTCTACTAACTTTTTAAAGATAATAATATTAACTCGACTATTTGCAGCTCTTACTTCACCACGTAATCCCCGGAGCCTTTGAAATTGCCACCCTGCAGGACGAGATGACTGGAGTTTCCCTCGCTGGAACTCAGTTGCGAGTGAATCAGTACAACATGCACGACCAGGAGTGGAATGATGTGACTGTAAGTCTTTCTTTTAAAACAAATATGGCCATAAAATAATAATAATTATCTTGAACCTATAGCTGACTACGATCAATGGAGCCATGGTTGTGCTAAACAAGAAGGACATCAAGATACCACAGGGAGTGGCCCATGCTGTGGACCGTGTGATGTTCCCTCTGCCGGTCGGAGACTTGCTTCAAACGTTGCAGTCTGATCGCGAGGGTCGCTTCAGCAACTTCCTGAAGATCCTGTACACCTCTGGATTGTCCGAGAAGCTGCAGAGCAAGGGTGAGAAGAACGCTACCCATTATCAGGGCATAAAATATATATGATACTTTCTTTCCGATAGGTGTCAAGACATACACTGTCTTTGCTCCAGTGGACAAGAGCTTCAGCGAACTGGACTCGGATACTTTGGAGAAGCTCTACAATGACAAGGAGGCTGCGGAGCAGTTTGCCATGAAGCACATCGTGCCGGGAGCTCTCTTCTCGGCCGGTATGCGCTTCTACCAGGTCAAGGACTCGCTGTACACCGGCAAAACCGTGATCCTGCAGAAGACGTCGGCCGGAAAAATCAAGGTGAACGACGCCCAGATGGTCACATCGAACATTCCGGCCACCAACGGAGTGATCCACGCCCTGGACGGTGTCCTGGCGTGAAGAGACTAGAGCTGTCCGCCAGCAGTTTTATCCATAGTCCTTAAGAAGTAGCGTAAGCGAGGAGGAAGAGGAGTCTTCATCAACCACATACACAAATTGCTTAGTGAAATCTTGCCAAGGCCCACTTGCCAAGGTTGGGCTTGAGAAAAATGCAATCTCTATTATAAAACTGGTGCAAATTCGTCGTTTGTAAGGGATAGACACGGATAATTGGTGCTTCCGCATACCTTACTGTATCATTTCTTTTTCGCCTTCATAAAACAGTCATTACACATAGTTCAATTTAAGAAAACGAGAAGAGAATCTGTAATTAAACACAAACACCAAGGAATCTGTTTGGGATCTAAGCTAAGTTCATATCTAATTTATTTTTGGCATTAAATCAAATGCAAATTAATTTACAAAATTGTGTAAAATAAATGAAATATAGTTAAGAAATAAATTATACACTTGTTTTAATATCCACTTAAGTTTAGCTACCATGGTCTTGAAATGTTTCTGGAGGTTTACGGAAGGTTGAAAAGGTGAGAAATATTCAAATAATTGCCAAGAAAACCTAATCGCTGAAATTATTCGTCAAATCTTCATGATGATAAAATCAATAATATTGTCGGTTGAAATTCTAAAAAATTTTTGAATTTGAATTTGTGAGATACTGCCAGACATGAACAATTTTTTTGTGCTGCCACATCAATGAATTCACATTTATGTAGTTGCCAGATATTGTTTCCGTAGCCAAGTTCACAACCAAGCTCCAAAAATTTATGGCCCGCGAAAATCAAAAATTTCCCTTTAAGGGAAATTTTTCTATTCTTTTCTGAATTTTAAATTCCAATGTCAATACAGGTCATCCGTGAGGTCCATGCGCATCCTGAGAGTTACTAACCCTATTCCAACTGCTAGTTGGTTCTGTCCATGCCCATGTGTCCACCCACGAATGTCAGGTTCTGACTTCGATCGTGGTTTTGCTCTTGTGCCGAGCTACGAACCTTAAACCTCGTTCTTTTACCAATAACAGGGATAACATTAACAGGGACATTGAATAAAGTCGTTAATTTAGACAAATACTACCAGGATGATTTGGGCTTCTACAATCTTAGTCTCTTTTAAGTGTTCTCAAGTGTGTTACCAGTCTGAATTGGTCTATGCCAGGATCAAGTTTTTGTAAAATTACTCAATTTTGATTGAGTAAATTTTTATATCTTTCCCAGGTCTTTGATTTTGATTATCGTTTCTTAATACAAAATACAATCGTATTAAAAAACGAGAGCATTTCTCCCTCTGAACGCCCGGTCCATACAATGGAAATGTGCACCTCCTCTGGTGACCAGGAAGATGGAAGTATGAAGAACCACAATACCTTTTTGGAAGATAGTCTATTATAACATTATTCCAGGTTCCGCGATTTGGTAGATGAGGCTTGCCAAAGGAGGAAAGAGCTGAAGAGCTGAAGACTGAAGGACTGAAGACCAATGCAGTTTCTCTTATGAGCGACTACATTGACCTTTTTTTTTTTTAATATTTTTTAGAGGATACAATTTTTTAATGATGTCCCAGATCTTCCAGAATAACACCAATGTTTAATGTTTAAGTGTTCCCCTTGATTGAATATTAAAACACACATCTTTAATGTACATATAATTCTCATAAATTCTTTATTAATTCGATTTTTAAAATGTCTTGTTTCATTCGTGTTGCCTCGTGATGATTTAATTAGTTTACTCTCCTACGCAAATGCCACACATTAATTTACGTTTAAGTATTCTGTATAAATGTTTTTTTCTGCCTTGCAAGCAATTTACCGATCGATTTCATTGGAGTATTTAGTTAGGTTTAGTCAATAATTGTTGGTTAAATAATTTTAGCAATTTATTTATATCGTTAAATTCTATAATTTGCCTTGCATGGCGATGCTCCAATCCTCTTCCCCCACACACTCATACATAACTGATGCACTATTTTATCCTTTACCGTCCTTTCAAGTGTGTGTCTTTCAAGTGTTCTTATTTTTACATGCACATTTATATTTGCAAAAAACATGAATGGCTATTTGTATATAATTAGTTTATTTGTATTATTCCATAATCGAATTCGAGTAAAAAGCAACAGTTAAACCGAAAATGTCTTTCAAAATAACCTTTTAAAATATATACACCTAAGAGAAAGTTAATGGGGTTAACAACTCAAAAAGATAAACACAATTAATAGTCCAGAAAACATCGTTCAAATGTAAATTCTAAACTTTAAATACACATTTACCAACATCTATGCCATTCTCGACCGACTTTCTTTACACATTTTGTTTCTTTTCTCATTAATTTTTAGCTTATGCATTGTATTAATTTTTCAAAGTATCACCCTGTGTTTTCTCATAGTTTTACGTTTTTTTTTTTGTGTTTTTTTTTCCTTAAAATTTTTTGTTAAATCTTTTGCTTAAAATGTACAACAATACTTCAACTTATTATTTATATTTTTTTTAATTTTCTTAACAAATCGCGCACTTTGAAAACGGGCCCGGAATCTGCGGCTCTCCTAAGGACGAGAGTCCAAAAGTATTCTATAATAAAAAGTTGAAACTAAATAATGCGAGTGTGTGTGTATGGCTATTGTAGGTTTACTTTTAGTAGACACTGTAGTATGTTGAACTGTTGCTTGGTTTTATTTTAAACTAGAGCCACCTTAGCTGTCTGCAATGTTTCTGGAATTTGTAGGCTTTTCTATAGGACAGGAAGATTAAAGTAACATATTGAAACCCTCCATGCAGTGGATAGTATAGTCAATAGAATAGTTTTTGGAATTTTTAAACAAAAATAGTTTTCGAAGCAATACAGCTAGCTGAGGCAGCTCTAAGTACGTTACTGTTGTGATATTTGCAATATTTTTCTTTTGGTTTTTGTTTATCGTTTAATTCTATTTTAAATATGCTGTACGTAGTTGGAGGAAAAAACACTTAAAATGTTTTGTTTAAATGAACGCTTTGACTATTTTCGTTAATCTGCCGTCGACTTTTACGATCGACCTTCTGGTTTTCATCGTTAGTTTGCTCTATGGTTTGACTATTTCTTCACTTAGTTTGGCTTCGGTGTTGCAGTGTTGCAGTGTTGCAGTGTGTGTGTAATTCATTTTAAATTTAATTTAAAATAGGAACAACCCGCACGCGCCTGGCATCGCTTGGGTCTCGAACCTAGAGTGCGCCCCCGCCATCGGCTTCCCTACAGCCTTTGTCGTCTCCTAGCCACCGCCACCACCATCTACTGCTGCTGGACCAGCAGCTGCTCAACCTGGTCGGCGGTGCGGAGCAGAAAGGCGGCGCTTTCACGGTAAGCGGATATCACCTGGCGGGCCGCTGTCACCTCGTTGGCGCTCAGCTTGTGCGGTAGGATGGGCGGCACTCGGTTGGACTGCCCGTCCATGCCGCCCCCACCTCCCAGGAGCTGTTGCTGCTGTTGTTGCTGCTGCTGTTGTTGTTGCTGCTGCTGTTGTTGTTGGAGTTGCTGCAGTTGTTGCGTGGCGGTCACCAGAGCGTTGTTGTTGTTCGCGTTGCTCAGGCTGGCCAAGTTGGCGGCACTCAGCTGGGAGTTGATGTTGCCGGCCACGGAGTTGTTGCTATTGTTGTTGCTGACCAAGTTGCCGCCAATGCCGGAGGCTAGGCTATTGGGCTTCATCGAGAGATCGGTGGGCGTTACTGAAAAACAAACAAAGTCTTATGAGTTGAGTGAATAATAACGAAAGGCAAAGTATAGGTACTGCACTTAAATCCAAGCAGGAACTAAACTACTTCAAAGCATAATTAAACTCACCATTTCCCAGGCCAGCCACACCAGGAAAGTATCCCGGATAGCTAGGAGCCCGGCCGGCAGCTACGGCCGCTGCTGCTGCCGCCGCCACAAACGGCGAGGCCGTCGAAGGGGAGCTGAAATCCGTGGTGTAGGGACTGCTGGCCGGCAGACCGGCTCCGTTGGAGGCCCCGGCGCCATTGGCCAGGGTGAGGCCGGTGACACTAGCACCGCCACTCACGCTGGCATTCGAGCTGAGGGCGAGGGGAGAGCTGCGCGCCGAGCTCATGCCCCCGCCACCGCCCACTTGACCGCCGCTCGCACTGCCACCACCCGCGCTGCCTCCTACCGTGCCGGCCGCCCCAAAGGGCAGGGCCTCCGCGTGCTCCGAGTTGGGGGTAGAGCGGGCGAAGCCAACGGCGCTAACAAAGGGCAGAGCTGCAGCCGCGACACTGGTGAGTCCGGCAGCATCCGCGGCACCTCCCACGCCGCAGGTGACGGTGGCGTTGCCAGCGGTCGTTGTGCTAGTTCCTCCGGCTCCTGAGCTGGTGGCAGCCACCACAGCAGCAGCGGCAGCGGCGGCGGCTGCTGCGGCGACTGCGCTTCCCGGCGCCGGAACCGCATGGGTAATGGGCTCCAGGCCAATCCTCATTCGCTTGGCATTCATGGACTCGTTCTCACAGGCGATGGCCAGGATTTGTTCCGCCTGCACGGACGTGAGATGAGCGGGAGTGGGTCGGGTCTGCAAATAGGAATCAAAAGTAGACATATTAATAGGCTGTCCCATTTGCTTTGAGGGAAGGGGGTGTACAATATTCATAATTATGAAAATCTGAAATCTATCCCGCACTCACCGTGTTCTCCCATCCATCTCGGGTCTTCTTATTGCGCCTGCATGACTTCAGATAGGTTCGAATACGTTTGCGGGATCTGTCACTGAACTCTGGGAACTGGCGGGCGCACGAGTCGATGATAGCCTGAATCTTCTCTTTCGGCTGCTTCGATATCGGAATGATGCGGTCCAGGTTCTCGTCCACAAACAGTCGGACAAACATCTGAAAGAGAAGACATCGTTATGGTATTCCGCTCGAATAGAATTTTGACCAGAAAATCCTGGCGCTTTCTTTGGCAACGCTTGGCTTTACATTCGCTGCTCACTCTCATCCCACATCTCACTCGCTTTACTCACATTGAAGGCCTTGAGGCGCTCGGGATCGTGTGTGGTGGCCAACTTCTCATCCAGCTTGTCGTCGGAGTCGTCCTCGGAGACCTCGTCTTCCTCCTTCTGCCCAGACGAGTTTGTCTCGTCCTGGGTCTCCATGGGCGAGTGAGTGTCCTGCCGCGGCACCGGCGACAGCGAACTGTCCATCTTGACACTGGCCGCCGCCGCTGCTGCAGCGTTTTGGGCCAGAGCGTTCTGGTACTGGGCCCACAGACCACCCACCACCGAGAGGTCCGGACCCTCGGTTCCGTTGCGGACAGCCGTCGAGTTCTGGTAGTTCCAGGCGAGCAGCATCAGCTTCAGCTTGTCGGCGTCCTTCATCAGGCCGGCGTACGCCTCCGATTCGCTGCCCCCGCCGCCGCTCAGGCCGCTGACCACTTCGCCGAGAAGTCCGCCCGCGCCGACGATGCCGCCACCACCCGCACCGGAGCCTCCTCCTACGCCCCCGGTGGCCACGCCAACCACGCTGCTGGTGGTATCGGTGGTCACGGTCGGTGTTGCTGGGATGGTTTCCTACAAATCAGATAAAGAATGAGAATCATGGGTTAGTCTTTTAATATATATTATATAATATAGGAGTATCGGCTATAAAAAGGTTTATTCATAATACTTTGCATTTTGAAGAATTCCATTTTTTTTATAGAAAGTTTCTTAAGAGTCTCCAGGTTTATGCTCAACAATTTTTCACGCTACAAGGCAACTTGGCAGAGACCACACAAAGTTTTGGGACTCGGTTCGATATGCCAAATCCCAATGATTAGATGGAGAGCCAGTTGAAAGTTCGTTAGAGAATTCAAAAGAATGCAAAAAAGACGCAACGTCAAAGAAATCTGCCCAAACCCCTGTCCAGATTCGAGGGAAAGTTTTCTCGACTTTCATCTTCAGGCGAGCTCAGTACCAGTTCGCCCTGCCTGGCTCTTCTGTCCATTCTTGGGGTTGCCTTTTTTCACAGTCCGTCTTTGTGCACTGAAAATTAGTATAAGCAGGGGGAGTGGTGGGCTGGACGGCGGGCTACCGGGAGCCGGGTTCCGGGTCCCTCAAAGGGGAGGGTTCTTGGGTTGGGTTTCCTTTCCTGCCATTTGCGGCCGACATGGTTCTAATGAAACATTTTGCCCAAGACGTTGGGTGTCCGGCACACAAGCTTTTTTCCTCTGCACTCCTTTGGATTTGCGGTCGAAGGACACTGCGCCAGGATGGGCGGTGGAGAAGGGATTGTGCCGGGGGGTGGGGTGGGGGAAGGGCAGATGAAATGATGCTGTGTTCCGTGTGGATGGCCATCGAGATTGAAGCTTCCTTCTTTTTCCTTTAAACGTGGAAGGACTCCAAGTCTTAATTAACATTAATTTGCCGGATCTCTGAGCCATATGGGTGGGTGGCTCTGGGGAATGATATGTGGAATGTTTTGAAGAGAAAAAGGTTATTTCTAGAGCAACAATCAAATCTCCATGTCCAGAAGTCCCTTGGTGCACCCCTGAACTGCAACTGTACCTGGTTTATTTATAAGATAATTACCGTCTGACATTTTTCACCTCTACGTGGTAGCAGAACTCACAAAAATTGCATCTCTCTCTGCAGCAGTCGGGTTTGAACAAATATTTTGGAGTATATTGCCAAAAAGTGAAACAAATATTTGGTTTATTGCTTACAGTCTTGAACCTTCGGCACACACACACCCATGTATGTACTGTTCCAGGCCAGCATACCTACCTTTGCAGAGAAGCACATCATGTGCAATTTCTTTTAATTTCTTCAGCACGATTGCGTAGTTGGGTTTCGAATTTGAATTCTCATTAGACTAAGTTGTCAGGCCACAACTCGAGACCGACTCGAGACTGACAGTTCGCCCCATCCCCCTACAACCACCACACAATCCAGCCCTCCGACCTTCTCTGCTTGTCTCAAGCATCCAGTCACACCTCCCTCAAAACCGATGTCGCAACCACAAAAACTTTGGAGCTCCCCCCAAGCCCCAGCTCCCACCGAGACCGAGGCCCACACATCCTGTGGAAGAAGCGAGACCGAGACAAAAACTAATGCATATGTTTAGGCATTTTAATTTATATACGACACACACACTGGCAGGGGGGAGAACTTCTAAGAAAGCTCACACACACTAGCCCCGGCCCCGGCCCTTCCATGGCTATGTACAGGTTCTCAATCCGAAACCCCAAGTTCCCAGCCCACCACCTCCGTCGTTGATAAAAGCAACTTCCATTTCATTTAAACTACAATTTCCTTGACAGTGCACAGAGGCAACCCCTTGGCAAGGGATGTTGTTTGGCCCGAGGAGGGCGGGCGACATTGGGGCTGAGGCAGGGGCACTGGGACCCGGGACCCAGGACCCTGTCCTGGCAACCCTTTCACGCACTTATGAGTTAAACGCAAATTTTCTTAGCTGCCTTTTAGGCGCTGCTAGCAGGAGGCTGGCTGCCTCTGTCTGGAGAAATATGTCATCGGCAGTTGGTGACGGGAGTGGGGGCGGCATCGAGGAATGGGAGGGACAGAGCGACTCCTGGCTGGGTGGTAATTCATTATGCGTGTGCTTAGAGGTTGCCGGCATTGTAGTGGTGTGTTCTAGACGCAGCCGAAGTCAAAGTCTGCTTTTAGGCTGGCAGGCACCCGGCACCAGGCAGCAGTCAGTAGGAAGCTGGAGTAGCACATGTTTATCCTCCACCCTGTCACCTCATCGGTTTGTTAGTTTTGGGTGGGTACTGCCTCCTGCAATGAACTTTCCCACTCCCCTTTTACGAGGCTTTGCTTTTACTTGTAAGATGCCACAAGCCCGCATATTTCTGATATTTAGGAGAGCTTCCTGCCTTTGCCCATCCTAAGCTCATCACTGCCGAAAAAGGGTTACAAATTTGTGTGAGACTTCAAAAGCAACCTCGGGGAATGGAAATAAATGTTTGGATTTATGGCCCCACCTCCCACTTCTTGGACTCGTGTAGGTGTGCGTCGAATGCTTCTCTGGCTGGCAGGCAGGCAGGTGTTACCCATACGCCAGGTGGGTGGCTGTCAGCCCAAAACAAATTACTTGCCAAGAAGGGACCTGCGCTCATCTTTTGGCTTACCTTGCTCCTGGCAAAGTCAAGGTTGCCGGGGATGAGCCCGGAGCTTAAGTCAAGCAAGGGCCCAAACCCACAAGAACTCCCGACGGACCAGTTCCGTTTCCGACTCGGACCTGGTCTCTTAAAAATGCGGCTACCTGTTTGCCCTCAAGACTTTTGTCTAGGATTCCATTTTAATTAATAAAAAACGTGTTTTTGTCCAATTTGTTGGTTCTTGTGCAGCCAATTGAAAGACACTGTTTATAGATGGAGTGCATGGATGTCTGAGACGGTCAGAAATAACCTTAAATGATTTGTAGATCGATTTCCCACCATTCTGCATCAAAATCCTGAGGCAAAATATTTTTTACATTTTTTGTCCATTTTTCGTGATGGGATCCCTTGAAAATGGGGTTTTTCCCTATATGGCCCACAGTGATGGCTATATCTTCTCTAATTCTCATCCGATTGTCAAGCGGAGTACCTTAAACTATTTGTGGATCGATTTCACACCATTCTGCATCAAAATCCTGAGACAAAATATTTTTTAGATTTTTTGTCCATTTTTCGTAATGGGATCCCTTGAAAATGGGGTTTTCCCCTATAAGGCCCACAGTGATGGCTATATCTTCCCCAATTCTTAGCCGATTCTCAAGCGGAGTACCTCAAATGATTTCTAGATCGATTCTCCACCATTCTGCATCAAAATCCTGAGACAAAATATTTTTTACATTTTTTGTCCATTTTTCGTGATGGGATTTCTTGAAAATGAGGTTTTCCCCTATATGGTCCAAAGTGATGGCTATATCTTCTCTAATTCTCATCCGATTGTCAAGCGGAGTACCTTAAACTATTTGTGGATCGATTTCACACCATTCTGCATCAAAATCCTGAGACAAAATATTTTTTAGATTTTTTGTCCATTTTTCGTGATGGGATCCCTTGAAAATGGGGTTTTCCCCTATAAGGCCCACAGTGATGGCTATATCTTCCCCAATTCTTAGCCGATTCTCAAGCGGAGTACCTCAAATGATTTCTAGATCGATTCTCCACCATTCTGCATCAAAATCCTGAGACAAAATATTTTTTACATTTTTTGTCCATTTTTCGTGATGGGATTTCTTGAAAATGGGGTTTTCCCCTATATGGTCCAAAGTGATGGCTATGTCTTCTCTAATTCTCTTCCGATTCTCAAGCGGAGTACCTTAAACGATTTGTAGATCGATTTCTCACCATTCAATTTTTTAAACTCAAATCTATATGGGCTTTCAGTAAAACTCTCCCATGCGTCTATTTCGTCCCATTTAGGTTAAAATTTCAACTGCAACCCTCGATGCATTTAATGCATGTACACCCATAGAAGTTGTATGTACATATACGAATATGTGTATATAAGCCCGAAAAAAGTTCAACAATAAAATAATATCTGTGCTGGTCAAAGCAATTACAAAAAAAAGGAGTGGCCCAAACACGTTGGCCCAAACTGCATTCTCCGCGTGGGAGGCAGTGCACCTATAAAAAAATAAATAGAAAGTATAGAAAAAATCGGTGAATGGGTGGCAGGATGCAGGTTGTGCTGGGCCGGCCAGTTTCAAATTAGTTACCAGTCACGGTTTTAGCTGAGGGCTGGATGGTTTAGGGGTACGGCAAGCCTCCAGACTCCAACTCCAATACCCTACCGTGTATATGAAATATTGAAACCGATACACATACATTTGCGATACGTGTGTTTGTTTACATAACTGGTACATAGGCTTTAAATGCGACCCTAGGATGTGTGCAAAGTGCAAGTTATTTATTTGCTTGGTTCCCAAAAAAAAAAGGTACAAAGGGCGTGTGATGGATCAGGTAATAACGGACTTAGTCGGATGGTCCAAAAAAGGGGATTAAGGCCACTAAAGCTGGGCATAGATTTTTAAATTATGTTATAGGGATGATTCTATCTAAATCTATTCTTTCTATTAAATTTAAAGTTTAAAGTATAGATCCCTATTACTTTTCACTTTTTTTTCCAGACCATATCTATAAGGACACCTATTCTATATATCGCTGTCTATTGTTGTCAAATCATTTGAATATTTTGCATCTGACTGTTGGCATAGCAACTGCCACCACTTATATTCCGTGTGGGTTTGTGTGTGTTGTAAAATTTTCGCATTTCCGTTGGAAAATTCTATTTTATTTTTTACGCTGCACGCACAAAAGCCCAGGGTGGTGAAGGGCCAGTCAAAACTTTGACGCTGTTCCTGTTTTTGTTGTCGACTTTGTTGTTGCCATTGTTGCAACTAAAAAGCGAATGCATCTGGAGGTGAAAAAGGGATGCATGCGAATTATGTGGCAGAGAGAGAGACCGGGTCGGGACTGCACTTATTTTTATACATTGCACTTGCCGCGAGAAATGAACAAAGTACACAAACGGTTTGTATCAAATACAAAAATATGAGTTAAATAGAAAACAGCATACTC